CACTATTCAAAAATGCATTCTAATGAAAATAATGTGACTCAAATAAGGATTTAATACATAACTTTTTAAGTTGTTAGGATGGCAGATGTCCCGCTAGCGTCGCCTCGTAATGGAACAAGGGCGGGGTATTATTTTTCTTTTATTTAATTTTTAAATTTAAATAGTACCTGAAAAATAAATAAAAATAAATATTTAAACAAAACAAGAAGTAGAGATTTTTTCATCCTATCCAGCCGGGCCCTTCAAAAATCCTACCACTATACCAAAAAATTGTCATGACATAGCTAGCAGTTTGTTTGTCAATACTAGTGGTGTTAAAATAGGCAACCTATCTAGGCCAAAATTCAAAACGACCCATCTCGATAACAAATCATACAAATCAATCAATCGAGTTCATCTCACGTGAGCTCGTGAGTTAGTTTGCCAATAATGGCAGGTCGTGTCGGTTGAGTTTTTCAAACTAGAGCATCATGAGGACGAGCCCCGATCGGATTGATTTATTAAAAAAAATATTGCACCAGTATTAGTATTATAAGTGTAAAGTGCTTATTTAGAGATTAAAAAATAACAAGTTTGGCCCATCTCAGACCGGGCTAGTCCACACTATTAGTAAATTCGCGGCAAGCAGGCCCTAAGATTTTGAAGATAAATTAGTCTATCAACAGATTAGTTCAAGTCATCATGTGCCAATAGCCGAACTTACATACAAGTGAATTGGTCTAGACAGCTCACACATTTTGACAAGAAAAATGCACCCTTTGGTGTAGACTTATTTCAGCAATTTCATTTGTACAAAAAATTGTTTCACAGAAATGCACCAAAAATTTTACATTGTCTGTACCCCAAGTTGTGATAAAAAAAAAAAAAAAAAAAAAAAAAAAAGGTCAAAAAATTACCCACCCTCGGTGCTATGTCTGTTCTGTAGTGTTTCTGAGCGTACAATTTCTGTTCACACATCAATGCTTGACTTAATTTGACAGTCCTCTAATAATATATCGCAGGCCCCACCCCATATTAGATGGTTGTTAGCCGGGATGTACACCAAATGATGTATACCTAGCATTGTTATTTTGACAAACCTAGCTATGATGTCAAAATTTTCGAAATCTATTCACAATTTAATGGATATTTTAACTATTGATTACTTGCTTTTGTCACGGGGGAACGGGTAAGCTTATTCCCCAACATTAATCTGAGTGACTTGTTATCTTTAAAATTTTGAAAAATAGTCCAATTTTGATATTGTTTAACATTGTACATCTGATTGGTCAAAAGTCATTTATTAACTAATTATATATTCAATTTAAGCATTTTCAAATGTTTAAGTAATTTATGAGGAGGGCCAATAATACTACAGATTAGAAATTGGAGATCATATTGCTAAGAAAAAGGGATCGAAAATCAAATTGTTTTATAAATTAGAAAATTATAGTGTAACTTTTTCTATAAAAATCGAATTTGCGTACCTAAGAAAGTAACAATTAATCGTTAAATCTATAATATATTAAGTATCACCTCAAATGAGAACCATTTTTTGATAATTATAATTTTACTACAATTCAATCATTTCAATAATATTTTACTTTTCATTTTTTCGATATGTAATAAATACTATAAGACCATGTTTGATTGGCCATTATTTTCCATGGAAAATAGAATTCAAATTTCAACTTTCACTTTTTGATTATTTGATAGTATATTTTTTTCCATGAAATTGATTTTCTTGAAAAGTGTTGATTTTTTTTAGTTTTCAAGGAAAACCAATTCCCACCTATATGATGGGAATTGTTTTTCTAGGTAGGCTGTCAATTTTATTATTATTATTATTATTATTATTATTATTATTATTATTATTATTATTATTTGCAATGAAAACAAATTTTATCTCTAATTATAAAAAAATATTTTCCTTTGATTGATAATTTTCATATAAAATAAAGTCAAATGAATACCAAAAGATAGATGATTTTCTTGACTTTTTTTTGGCAATGGAAACAAATTATATCCCCAATACCAGTAAATTTTATTCATTTAATTGATAATTTTTATGTAAAAAATCAAATAAACACAAAAAAACACTTTTATTTCAACATTTTTCACATAAAAAATTATACTATTCAAACACAATAATTGAGAATTCCCGGTAAAATAATTTCTATGCAATTCAATTTTTTGAAATTTGTTTTCTTTTCACCCAAATTCCATCTTTGTAATCAAACGAATTCTAAGATTCTTAGTCATGTATAAATTTCGTGTTATTAATTCTCAATTAATTAATAATTACTTGAATCTAAACTTAATGAATTTTGACTTAATAATTCTTAATATATATGAATCTAGAGTTATTATGGATGAATTTATTTATATTCACATATCTAGAAAAATTAGCGTGTGTTTGAGCCACATTATTTTGGAAGAATGTATTTTGGAATAGTAGATTGATGAAGAATATGTGGTTAAAATAGAAAGAAAAGTTTTGAATTTATGTGTAATATTATTTTATTGAAAAATATGTGATTGAAATGATGTCAAATCACTATTTGAAAATGTATTTTTTTAAAAGAATGCGGCTGAAATAGATATTTAAATTCATGTATTAACAATTAATTCTTATGTACAAAGTATCGTCTAAAAAAGTTGCTCATTTGTAGTATTTCATCAAAATAAAAAATTTGAATTAAACCGAGTTTTGAGAGTATAACTTTCTTTTTTTAAATTTCTATCATAAATTTTATTTTTTTCCATATTCTGTTTATTGTGCAGCAAATCAAAATCAAGGCTTAGTATGCCAAATATTACTTTTTACAGCATTTATAAAGTATTTTCAAAATAATGTGTAATGCATTTGAAAATCATTTTTATGGACGATTTTAACTCTACTACAATTCAATTATTTCAATAATACTTTATTTTTCGTTTTTCAATTTGTAATAAATAAAACACAATCCTTCATCATGTATGAATTTCGTATTATTAATTTTCAATTAATTAGCATTCATATTAATCTAGACCCAATGACTTTTGATTTGATGTATCTTGATCTATGTAAATCCAGAGTTATCATGGATGATTTTTATTTATATTCATATATTTAGGGAATTTAATGGATGTTTAAATTCATGTATTAGCCATTAATTCTTATGTACCAAATGTAGTATAGAAATGTTGCTCATTTGTAGTATTTCATTATCACAAAAAAATTGGAATCAAATTGAGAGAGTACAACTTTCTTCTCTTAAATTTTTATCCTAAATTTTGTTTTCTTCCATATTCTTCTAATGCTGTAGCATATCAAAATTAAGGCTCCTCATATCAAATGTTACTTTTACAAGCACATAAAGCCTATTTGAGCCCCATTTTATATGTGGAAAATATTTTTGAATAGTAGATTGATAGAGATTGTAGGACTGGATATGATTCGGTTTGATTCTAACGAGAATCGAACCAGACTCGAAACTTTTGGATACTTAGTAAGTAGAATCGTCAGGTCCAAATTTAATTATGGAACCGTTGGGATTCGATTCTATTCAATTCATTTCGGTTTGGTTCGATTCGGTTCTATTAAGTTCTCAGGTTCCGTATTATAATTAAATTTTTTAATATTTACAAAGTTACATTAATTCAATTAATGAAATGTTCAATCTTAACTCTTATAAAATAACGTAGTCCAATCTTTCGTGTCTTTTGCGTCTCTCTTTGCCGAGTTCTTCATAAATTTGATTGTTAAAATTACTGGAAGAGAAAGATAGTGATCTCACAATAATTAATAGAGGCGTTGTCAAGCTTCATTTCAATTTCTTCAGAACGGTAGAAACGACACTACGGTTAGGTCAATTTGATTAAGTTGATTTGTACTAAAAATTAGAAATAGGAAAATTATATTTTTGGGTTTGAGTTAAATTAACTAGTTAGCAAATTTATTTTAAAAAAATAAAATAATTTGATTTATTTAAAATAAATTAATAAAAAATTAAGGAAATTAGATTCTTATTCGATTATTTGATTCTTGATTTAGAAATGAGAATTGAATTGAACTCGTTGGTTTCGATTTAGATACTCGTTCGAGTATTTAACTTAAGAAGAATTGCTCGGTTTGAGTCGGGTTTGGTTCGATTCGAAAATTTTGCCCAGCCTTAAGAGATTGTGTGATTGAAAAATAAGAAAAAAGTAATATTATTTTATTGAAAAATGTGTAATCAAAAAGAAATTATAAAAAATATATTTTAAAAATAATAACGATCAAACAAGAGCCTATAAAATATTTCAAAATAAGGTGCAATGTAAATTCAACTCTTACTAATATATAATTAAAAATGGATAATTTGTGGGGTTAAGAAGAGCAATTAAATCGACATTTAAGACCGGTTGACTTTTATCCTTTTAACAACCGCTTTTCCTTGCCCCGTAATTTTTGCTTACTTCAGGGGCAATTAATCATCCTTCTTTCTATAAATTTCCCATTTCATCCCATTTCGAAACCCCTGTACCCCTTCTCTCTCTCTCTCTCTCTAAAATGGATAATTTGTGGGGTTAAGAAGAGCAATTAAATCGACATTTAAGACCGGTTGACTTTTATCCTTTTAACAACCGCTTTTCCTTGCCCCGTAATTTTTGCTTACTTCAGGGGCAATTAATCATCCTTCTTTCTATAAATTTCCCATTTCATCCCATTTCGAAACCCCTGTACCCCTTCTCTCTCTCTCTCTCTCTCGCTTTCGTGTGTGTCTGTGTGTGATTTTTGCGTGTTTCTTTGTGTGAAATTCACACTGTAGAACCAGATTTTGTTTAAATTTCTGATCTGTATCTAAATCTGTATTTTTTTTTCCCGTTTATTATGAGCAATTTTCTGTTTTATTCGAATTTTCTTTATGTTTTACTGTGCAACGATGTCGTTTTCACATGTTTAGAAAATGATTTGTTTTTGTGTTTAATTTTAGTGGGGAGAGAGTTTGTGCGATATGCAATTGTGAGTACGTGTTAGGGAAGACACGTGTACGACGATGATGAACAACTCACGCCGTCAATTTTTTCCGTCAAATAAGCGAAAAGGGAGAGATGATGCTCCTAACGTCCTGAAGAAACCGTCAACAGTGACGACTAAAACATTGGCCAAGCCGAGCCTTCACAGACCAGCAGCAACAAAGCCGTTAGATCAGCCGGCTTCCAGCAATACTAATACCCTTCTGGCTGGGTATCTAGCCAACGAGTTTTTAACAAAGGGTACCTTATTTGGTCAGCCTTGGGATCCAGCTCGAGCCGAAGTGGTTCCTCTGTCAGCCGCGACATTTAATCAGAAGCAGTCTTCGAGTCAGAAAATGGGAAGTGAGCCGCAAAGAAAAGCCGAGAACGAGGCTGAGAGTTATCAGAGATATATGGAAGTATCCCATTTGTTGAAGTCAGATAGGGCCCATATACCAGGTGTATTCAACCCGACCCAACTCGTACGGTTCTTACAAAATGGTCAATGATTTTACGGTACTACCCTTCCACGCGTGACATACTCATTGGAGCATTTTAAATTCTCATTTAACTGTAGTTTTTGCATTTTAGGGTATTGTAGATATGTCAATGGTTCTTTGTTTGGTTGTTACATTCGAAATTATTTGTATACAATCTTAAATTTCTGCTTGATTTAATTTATGTCATGATTTTATTTTATTTGTTTTCTGAAAAACGTAGTGAAATATAAAAGAATAAAACAATTCTCGAACCAGACTCGAAACTTTTGGATACTTAGTAAGTAGAATCGTCAGGTCCAAATTTAATTATGGAACCGTTGGGATTCGATTCTATTCAATTCATTTCGGTTTGGTTCGATTCGGTTCTATTAAGTTCTCAGGTTCCGTATTATAATTAAATTTTTTAATATTTACAAAGTTACATTAATTCAATTAATGAAATGTTCAATCTTAACTCTTATAAAATAACGTAGTCCAATCTTTCGTGTCTTTTGCGTCTCTCTTTGCCGAGTTCTTCATAAATTTGATTGTTAAAATTACTGGAAGAGAAAGATAGTGATCTCACAATAATTAATAGAGGCGTTGTCAAGCTTCATTTCAATTTCTTCAGAACGGTAGAAACGACACTACGGTTAGGTCAATTTGATTAAGTTGATTTGTACTAAAAATTAGAAATAGGAAAATTATATTTTTGGGTTTGAGTTAAATTAACTAGTTAGCAAATTTATTTTAAAAAAATAAAATAATTTGATTTATTTAAAATAAATTAATAAAAAATTAAGGAAATTAGATTCTTATTCGATTATTTGATTCTTGATTTAGAAATGAGAATTGAATTGAACTCGTTGGTTTCGATTTAGATACTCGTTCGAGTATTTAACTTAAGAAGAATTGCTCGGTTTGAGTCGGGTTTGGTTCGATTCGAAAATTTTGCCCAGCCTTAAGAGATTGTGTGATTGAAAAATAAGAAAAAAGTAATATTATTTTATTGAAAAATGTGTAATCAAAAAGAAATTATAAAAAATATATTTTAAAAATAATAACGATCAAACAAGAGCCTATAAAATATTTCAAAATAAGGTGCAATGTAAATTCAACTCTTACTAATATATAATTAAAAATGGATAATTTGTGGGGTTAAGAAGAGCAATTAATTTTTAAACAATTTCCAAACATGATATAAAAATAATAATAAATAAATAAATAAATAAAAACTAGAAAGGCAAACCTAAAAAATTTCATCCACTTAAACCTTACCAATGTAACAGAGGGTTTTTCCTATGGTTTTTGCCATGCCGATGATGTTATTCTTGGAGTATAAGATTCTCTTTCAAATAATTTGAAAATAATACACTGTCAAAATTATCGTATTGTAATTTAAACAATGTAATAAGATGATCAACATGATCAGAATGTTAATTTGAGCCCATCCACTTCCCGATATTTTCTTAAAACGAATTTGGTGTCTTCAAATATACTATGTGTCTGTGTGTGATTTTTGCGTGTTTCTTTGTGTGAAATTCACACTGTAGAACCAGATTTTGTTTAAATTTCTGATCTGTATCTAAATCTGTATTTTTTTTTCCCGTTTATTATGAGCAATTTTCTGTTTTATTCGAATTTTCTTTATGTTTTACTGTGCAACGATGTCGTTTTCACATGTTTAGAAAATGATTTGTTTTTGTGTTTAATTTTAGTGGGGAGAGAGTTTGTGCGATATGCAATTGTGAGTACGTGTTAGGGAAGACACGTGTACGACGATGATGAACAACTCACGCCGTCAATTTTTTCCGTCAAATAAGCGAAAAGGGAGAGATGATGCTCCTAACGTCCTGAAGAAACCGTCAACAGTGACGACTAAAACATTGGCCAAGCCGAGCCTTCACAGACCAGCAGCAACAAAGCCGTTAGATCAGCCGGCTTCCAGCAATACTAATACCCTTCTGGCTGGGTATCTAGCCAACGAGTTTTTAACAAAGGGTACCTTATTTGGTCAGCCTTGGGATCCAGCTCGAGCCGAAGTGGTTCCTCTGTCAGCCGCGACATTTAATCAGAAGCAGTCTTCGAGTCAGAAAATGGGAAGTGAGCCGCAAAGAAAAGCCGAGAACGAGGCTGAGAGTTATCAGAGATATATGGAAGTATCCCATTTGTTGAAGTCAGATGGGGCCCATATACCCGGTGTATTCAACCCGACGCAACTCGTACGGTTCTTACAAAATGGTCAATGATTTTACGGTACTACCCTTCCACGCGCGACATACTCGTTGGAGCATTTTAAATTCTCGTTTAACTGTAGTTCCTGTTTTTGCATTTAGGGTATTGTAGACATGTCAATGGTTCTTTGTTTTGTTGTTACATTCGAAATTATTTATATATAATCTTAAATTTCTTCTTGATTTAATTTATGTCATGATTTTATTTTATTTGTTTTCTGGAAAACGTAGTGAAATATAAAAGAATAAAACAATTCTGTAATTTAATAATTATATAATTTTAGAAGAAACTTTTGCTAATTGTACATACTATTAATAAACAACTTATTTGAAAGTAACATTTTTGACTTTGCAAACAAGATTGGCTCCTTTTTGTTGGACACCTTTGTTGGTTTATTTACATATAACGTGGCCAATGTTGAATTGAGGTGTTGAGCTGCAATTAACGTGATGTTGCAGCCGTTATGGACTACAATCATTGTGGGGGATGTTTGGAAGAGAAATTGACGGAGTTCGATCTGAAGTTGAGAGTTTTGGTGAAAGGACGTTTTGAAGATGTATCGTTTGTTTGGAAAGAATTTATAAATAGATTAAAATTAGTATCAAAGATCCATTGGAATGTGAACAATATTATGCTGAAGTGATTAGTTTCTATATGATTCATAATTTTTATATACTTCTTAGTTATACATTCATTGTGACCTATTGCTTTTAAGTAAAGATCTGACAAATATGCACTTATTTTGTAATTCTTTTATTTATTTATATTATTGTTATTTTGAAATTGGTATCCTGATTATCCGTGAAACCTCGTGTCCGTAGTTCTTAAGGATCTCAGGGTATATTGCCCTTTCGTCTCCAATTTTAGCGGATCTACTCTCAACTTCTTTTTTTACCTTTTATATAATAATATTTTTGAAAGGGTAATTAGCACAAAACGTTTATACTTTTCAATATTATTGTGCAAAACGTCTATACTTTTCTTTTTTTTGACATTTTCACTATTATTTCATATTTCATTACGAAAATTTTATTTTCATCCATTTTCTCAATTAAACGTTGTAAAATGATAAATATACAATCCTCTTCAAATAAATAAAAATAAAGAACAGATTGCAACTATATTCTCAAATTTTCCAAAAAAGTATAAATAAATTCCAAACAAATAATTATATTTGTACTTTTTTTGATAATTTTTGAACTATAGTTTCAATTTGGTCTTTATTTTTGTTTATTTAAAGATGATAATATATTTGTTATTTTACAGCTTTTAATTGAGAAAATGTATATAATTAATGATTTTTGGAGTGAAATATAAAAATAAGGGTAAAAATGTCAAAAAAGAAAGGTATGAATATTTTGCACAATAAGAATGAAAGGTAAGAACGTTTTGTGCTAATTACCATTTTAATAATTTATTTAGACTCATCTGCACTTTTTAAAAAAGCTTGGGAGTTTGCAATTTATTCTTTAACTTTTTTCATCTTTTTTTATTGTTTTATTTAAATAGGGGGTATATTTGTCATTTTACATGAGAAATTTGATGAAAATAATGATTTCCACAATAAAAGGTGAAGGTAATGATGAAAATATCAAAAAACGAAATGTATGAACATTTTGTACAATAACATTGAAAGATAATGACGTTTTGTACTAATATAGTAGATTTCATCCCTATAGTCATTTTTCTCCAAAAGTCTATTACACTTCTGTAAATTGATAGCTTTTAACTTAAATAAACAAAAAGAAAGAAAAAGGAATAAAGAAGAAGAGGGGAATTAAGTCCATGATTATAAACATACAAGTTAATTTTTATCCATACATTTTTAGAGAATTACAAGTATTATGGACTTATTTTTCACTCATTTCTATTTATTTATGAAACAAATCGTTTTTAAACAATTTCCAAACATGATATAAAAAAAATAATAAATAAATAAATAAATAAAAACTAGAAAGGCAAACCTAAAAAATTTCATCCACTTAAACCTTACCAATGTAACAGAGGGTTTTTCCTATGGTTTTTGCCATGCCGATGATGTTATTCTTGGAGTATAAGATTCTCTTTCAAATAATTTGAAAATAATACACTGTCAAAATTATCGTATTGTAATTTAAACAATGTAATAAGATGATCAACATGATCAGAATGTTAATTTGAGCCCATCCACTTCCCGATATTTTCTTAAAACGAATTTGGTGTCTTCAAATATACTAAAAGTGTGCAACAATCGTTTTCTAGGATATAACGAATTTCGTCTCCCACGGAAGCAACACATCAATCTGCAAGAGTTCGAATGAATTCAATGAAGTGCTTTCACTTAGAGAACAATATTAGAATGAGAGAGAAAATGAGATTCAGAGTAGAAAAAGTTTACGATGAAAATGATATAATTATTCTAATAGTAGTGCATGCTATTTATAGACTCATTCTTAGCCATTCAAACATCCTTCAAGTATTTTCAGAATAATCATTACTGTTTAGACAACCTTCAAACTCGAATGATAGCACTATTCCGTATTGCATCTGTTAAAACGGTTAACGGAAGTCTGTTACGTTGGTAAATAGACAATCCAAACCAAACTATTACCCGAAAATAAGCTAATCAAAATTAATTTCATTAACTACTCAAGAATTTGATTAATTATAAAATGGCCCAAAAAATTTAAATAAATTTGTCAAAAATATTAATATAGTACAAGGATCCAACCGTACTCGCACCTTGCACCCGAACACAAGTCAAACCGGACTAGAACATGGGCACGGAACCTAATAGGATATAGGTCTCTCCCTTTCAAAGATTATTGGTACCCTTTGGAGCCCAAATCTAATTTTCAAACTTCCATTATAACCACATCAAAGTTTCTTAACTTTCTTATGGGAGATAAATGTTTAGCAATTTTTAATAAATCAAAATTTTTACTAGTATATAGTTTTAAGTGAGTTACTTTAACATCAAATATATCATTAAATTCTAAATGATTTTCATTAAATAAATATATCACGTTAATCATCTCACAGAGCAGAACTTGAATATGCTTGGTTCCGTTAAAATTGAAATACGAGTCCCACTAAATTTGGGGCTCAAAATTAACCAACTTCACTAATAATAAACCATTTCCAACGGTCGATGGCATGTGTATACGACTGGGTCTTTCCCTTAGTTATAGCCGCTACTGACAATGGCGATAAAACAGAAGCAAATTCCATTGGCTTTTTCCTTGATTTTTCCACCACTTGCATAAATTGAGAGAGTTTTCCCATAGTTAGATGGTACAACCTTGAGGTTAGGTTAAGGTGCTTGGAGTATGGATGTTAGATGGAGTGAGTTGTACGAGTTAGGTCACAGCCCATTTGACATAGTGAATGAAATATACAATTTTAGTAGAATAAAATAGGCAAGCCACTTGCCCCCCACCACTGGTGCTCGGCTCGTCCCATGGATCAGTTTAACAGCTTGACTCACTCTATTAACGCCCTTAAGGAGAGAAGAAAGAAATTTTTTTTTCTCTCTCTTTCGTTTCCTTTTTATTTTTTCGTGTTTATTTTTATTAAATTCTTTTTGTTAAGTTTTTTTTTCTTTATTTATTTATTTATTTATTTATGTTAAAGTGTGATCTTCATGTTACACAAATTTGATAGATTTTTGGATGGATACACCTGTAGGGAAAAAATTACAAATTTTTAAAAAGGTTAAGGAAAAAAAACAGGAAAAAAAAAAAAAAAAAAATAGAAGTTCTAAAGCAAATTCGCTCCTTTGCTAAAAGGTAAGCGATGAAATAGTAATTTACCTAAATTCTTATATCATGACATCTCGTTTAAGAATTTTGAGGGCCCGTTTGATCAATTTTCTCTGCAGAAACTACAAGTTATTTATAATGACATTTGAACTTTAATGCAACAACCGCCAATAAGGTATTCTACCTTATTTGAGCCACATTATTTTCAAAAAAATATGTTTTTCAACAGTGATTTGATATCATTTCAACAACACATTCTTCAATAAAATAATATTACATGTAAATCTAAAAAAAATTTCTTATTTTTTAACAATATATTTTTCATTAATTTGACGTGAATAATACATTTTTTTCCTAGAATGTCGCTCAAACATGGGCTAAATAGCAACGAAGATTGGAGCCTACTAAACATGTTAGAAAAGTCCTTTTTACCGTTAGATTTTTCTTTGTCACTTATAGGCTTATAGCTATATGTAGGTATTTTTCTGTAAATTAAATTTTATTATTATTATTATTATTATTATTATTATTATTATTATTATTATTATCATCATTATCATTATTATTATTATTTTTACAACATCGATATATACACGTCTCACAACTGTGCTACACGATCCACGTGGATGATCGCACGCACAAACATATGGGGGGTCCGGATTATTTTATTCGCACGGGACCCACGCATTCCATGTAAGGGCGCAGTCATCGGGGGTGTCATCTGTGAGGGTCGAGTGACATTATTCTACGTATTTAGAGTGTACTGAACTTGCTCTCATGCGTACACATTCTTAGAAGAATAGACAAAACAGAACCATGCCGATGATGACATTCATAATGCAAAGTTAATTTCGATTTACGTACATATTCTTTATTATCTCATGGTAACAACTGTGTGTTAAGATAGTAGTTGTTAATAATGTTTTCGTACATCTCTTAGTTTCTACTCATGTTAATATTTTTATTAGTAAATATTACAAAAAAAGGTGTTTTCTCTTTTGTAGTGTCATTTGTCTTGATTGGTTATAAAAAGTATCCATTCAATTATTGAAGATCGAATTCAAATAAAGTTTCTTTTGAATGTCTAGCAAAAATCGAATCCACACCCGCGATTATCAAAGTAAGTTAGATATAACACCGATATCTCCCCTAACGTATTGAAAGTTATCGACACCATAGATGAATAGTTTTCGAACGTCTACGAATTTATGTATTCTAGTAAATATTTTCTTTCATGGTAGGGTTATGGTGGGCCAAAATGGTACAAGATTCTTTGTCACACACCTATTTATAATTTCTTATTTACATATATATATTTTTTTTCTTTTGACCAAACAAACAGAAAACAACTAATGAACTGTGCACATACAGAAAGAAAAAAATTTAAGAAAAAGAAAAAGCCTTTTTGGATCTACTTTCATCGTGGCAAACGGCACCCATGCCAACCCCACGCACCCCAACCTTTTATATACCCCCCTAACACACACCCCCGGACCCCCAACAAAGCTTCTCTACTCTTTTGCGTTTCTGCCCCGACTACCCACTAAAAAACTCCCCCAAAAAACCACAGAACCGCCATGAGAATACGGAAGCACGCCAAAATTTGTTCATTGACATATGCAGCATCTTCATTGAAACCTGGAACCGTGCTTCAAACCCATGTTTGCCAGTTGAATCAGTCCCCTTGGGATGTTATGAGTTTTTCGCCACCATCAACTCCTTCGCCACCACTGCCTCCTCCGTCGTTCCAGGTTAGTTTAATTTAGTCTATAATGACTCGACTTTGTTTCTATGCACAGATCTGTTAAACCCATTTCTGATTCTTGTCAAATGTCCCTCCATTTTTGCTGTTATTCTTTTTTCTTCTAGGGTTTTCTAAAAACCCACCATTAGGGTTGATTAAAAAATGTGAATCAAAGAGTTTTTGTTGTTTATTCGGGCTTGGGAATTTGAAATCTTTTGTGGGTTTTCACTGTTTTGGTTTATTATAGCTTGGCTGGCTCCATTTTTTCGACAGAGAATAATTTCTCTGCAGGTCAATGAAAATGATGATTTCGCGAGAAATGGGAGCTTCGGAGAATCTATTGCAACTTTTGATAGGTAATCTTTCTATTCTATGTTTAATTTGGGCTGTTTTACAAAATCTCCAGCTCTTTATTGATGTTGAAGCATTTAGGGTTCTGCAATAAATCAGCATTTGTGAATTTTTCTATTTGTAGTTTGATTTTTCGAAATTTGAGCTGAACAGTAATGTTGTCCACTGGATCTTTATTAACAGTGCCGTGTCGATGAAAATGGCTCTGGATGATGGGGAGATCGAGGCTATGAAAATGGAATATTCAGACAGTGTCATCGTGGGCGGCTCCGTCATCGGCAATGCGGAGGAAGGGGTCCCAAAGAAAGACAGGGAGATTATATTTTGCTGCAAAACTGATGGGAAGGGCTGGAAATGCAAGAGGGAGGCCGCTGAAGGGAATTCCTTATGCAAGCACCATTTATCTCTCGTAAGGAACTACAATAATTGGGCTCCACCGGTGGCCAAGAAAGTCGATAAGGTGGCGGCTGACTCTCATAGGCGTCCCCGGGCCAGGAAGGTGGGTTCGTCATCTAATCCGCACGAATTCTACTATTACTCGGGTTTTGGACCGCGTTGGGGCAAAAAAAGAGGCGAGAAAAATCAGATTAGCGGTAGTCGAGACGTGTCTAAAAATATCGATCAACAACATGAAATGGCACAATCATCATCATCTCAAATTGACATTGAAGAATCTGATATCGAGGATGAGGAAGACGAGGAGAATAGCGAGAGCGAGAGTAGGAGGAAGAGGGCCCGAAAGCCCATTAAAGCCAGGTCCCTAAAGTCCCTAATGTGAATGGATCAAAATTTGGCGTAAAATAGTGTGACATTTGATTTAATGGCAGTTGACTCCTAACTCAAAGTGTTTCCTTTTGTTAATAATAAGGGTAGAACTGTAATTTCATCTTGCATTTCTATCAGGGTGTTTGGAAGTACTTTAATTAAATTGCACTAGTATTTGTAAAAATTAAAAATAGAAACAAATCAACATCGATAATTAATGGGATTTTTTCTTCTTCTATTTAACTAATAATTTTTTTAATAATTACAATTTCATTTTGTAACACATATGAAGTTACGATAATCTGTCAATGAAACGTGCCTTCATTATGTACACTCGTCTTGTTAGACTTCAAATAACTAAGTAAGAGTACGAGTTCAAAAAAATCAAGTTTTAAAAATAATATTCGTAAATTGATGAGTACTTGGACAATTTTGTCCCCATAAATCTGGGACGAAAAATTGAGAAAAAAAAGAAAAGAAATCCATATAATATAGAAAAGATCCTAAAATGCCATTTCTTTCTATATTTGTGGAAATAGAACCTTTTAAGGTACTTTTAGAAAGCCCCTATTTTGGTGATTTAAGGGTTTTATAAACTCAAAAATTATTTGTGCGCTTTGACTTCTAAAAGTGTCTCTCTCTCTCTCGCCCCGTATGTATCTCTGTGTAAATGGAATGTATGCACCCACGTATACATGCGAAGAGAAGTTTGATTATCTTGAATTTCCCATGTTAGGATTTGTCATTTATGATTCCGTTGTTAGTTGCATGCCAGGTGTTTGATTTTTTGTCTGATTAAGAACTGTTTAATTTCTCGTTAACGTTAACAAGTAAATCTTGAATTTAAAAACGTACTTAAAGTGGGTTCCATTAACTGATGTCTTAGATTTCCTTTTTTCATATTATTGATGTTTTTTCCTTTCTTGCTTGTTGTTAATTAAGTGAAATGTTTGGCGTAATGATATTAGTCTGGCCCTGTAGTTTTTGCTTCATTTTCGTACAATTCCTACAGCTATATTCTTAATGTCTGTTTAGTGAAAGTTGTCCATGTAATTGCTCCGAATTTCAATGATTTACGTGTTCCCCTGTCCTTATGTCAGCCTCTTGGACGGAAGAAAGAAGGAAAGTTACTGACGACTTCAACAGGTTCTGTCTTTCTGTCATGAGATTTGACCAGAGAGTTTTGGTGTTCTGAGGAAGATCACAGGTTGAATTGTTCCAAGTGAGGAATAAAAAGATGTTCCTTTCGGCGTTACATAATAATTCTGGTGTTCATTCTTTGTCAGTATTGTCTCTCCATGAAACAACAAATTCTTGTTGCCATTCGAATTTCCTCTTGTTTCCATCGACTGTGAAATCCAAATACACTGGAAAACGATTTGTATGCATTTCCAGTTCAAAGAATTCTGATGCAAAACCCGACAAGAATCGTAGTCAGAGTCCTAGTTTGAAGCCAAAAGGAAGAGCTCGGCAGGAGAAAACTGAAGTTCCTCGAGAGGAGGATAAAAATTCTGGAAGGAAGTTCCCTACAGTGATCTCTAAGAAGCCCAAGCGTGGTCGTCGGAGTGAAGCAGCTGCAGTTGAGGATTTTGTGCGTGATTCGCTTGAACGGACTTTCGAATCAATCCGGCAGCAGAATTCGGATATTCTGAAAGATAAAGTAATGAAAGATAAAGTTGATGATGGTGTTGATTCCAATAGCAACAGTGATGAAGATGATGATGACAGGGATGAAGAGAAAGGTGATGATTCAAGAGGAAATGAGATGATGGTAGAGGAGGAGAATCCCAATTGGCCTCTGGATGCTGACGTTGGGTGGGGGATCAGAGCATCAGAGTATTTCGAGCAACATCCTATAAAAAATGTCGTAGGCGAAGATGGTACTGAAATTGACTGGGAGGGAGAGATCGATGATGGTTTAGTGAAGGAGATCAATTGTCTTGAGTGGGAGAGCTTTGCTTTCCATCCTAGTCCACTAATTGTTCTCGTTTTCGAAAGATACAACAGGTCTGTAAAAGTTCTTGAAAAGAAGGAATCTGTAAAACATGATGTAGTGCATTTAATCTATACTTGCCTAGATGTAATCCAAATCTGTCACTGATTTCAGGGCAAGCGATAACTGGAAAGTTTTGAAAGAACTAGAAAAAGCAGCAAAGGTGTACTGGGAAGCCAAGGATCGACTACCTCCTCGGGTATATGAATCTCCTCTTTTGACACCTTTTTTCCTCTATTCCTATCCGTAATCTGTTTATTATAATCCTATGTCTTTAATTTCCATTACTAGACTGTCAAGATAGATATAAACATCGAGAGAGATTTGGCCTACGCTCTTAAAGTTAAAGAATGCCCACAAATTTTGTTCTTACGTGGAAACAGGATATTGTATAGGGAGAAAGGCGAAGACTAAACTCTTCAATTGTTATATAATATATACTCTCATTTGTTAGCTCCATTACTAACAAGTTCTTCACAATATGCAGAAACAAGAACAGCAGATGATTTGGTTCAGATGATTGCACATTTTTTCTATAACGCAAAAAAACCTTCGTGTATTAAAGACAAGGCTCTATCATCTCCGTCTTGAGTTCAAACGGAGGCAGCATTGTAACCATATCTTGTGTCGTTGTGTCCTTAACTTGTACTCTGACATTTTAAGTTTTATTTTTTGGTGAATTTCTTCTATGTTTTGTTTTGATCGGAATGGTTAGTAGGATTTGGGTTTAATCCTTCCTGATGGATTCACTGATCCGAGAGTGGCAAAAAATCGATGCAGTTGTATGGTTTTTGGATAAAAAATATGAACTCGATCAGAAGCTTGTCTATGTAGACCACTATTTAACATTGAGTATAGACTTCAATATTAAGATCAAAGATGTAATACTTTTTTGTGATGACAGTCTTTATACATCATATTAAAAATTGAAATATGGTTGGGACATTTTGTCAAACCTCATAAAGTAGAATCCTTGGGGTTAGGTCCACTCGTTTTACTACCTTTCTGTGAAGATAATCCTAAAGAATTTGTACAACTGAAAACGAGAAAGAACCTTTATAATGAAACAATACTTCAATTTAGGAAAAACGAACTCCACATAATGTTTCTTTAATTTTATAAAGAACCAATGTATAAACTAAAACACAATTTCTTATTATAATATCTTAATTAACACACAATTTCTATCACGAAGGTTGTTTATTAATTCATCTATAAAAAATAAATTAGACATAACATAGATACCACACGGTACTCCCTTAAAAAGATTGATCAATAAGTGCATGTATCCACTAAATATTTTCATAATTCTGGAGTGGGTAAAAAATTGCGAGACTCTATTTAAAACATCTGTATATATATTTTTTATTCTACTATTTACAATTGGTTTGTGTGATATAAATTTTTTTAGAATAAATTTCATATGTATATGTAAAGATCTGACCTTTGTGCTTAAACTGTTATATCATACATACTGTCCTTTTAAAAGGGCCAAAGCCCATCTTATCGACTCAATTGGTACTAGAATTCAACTTAAGTCATTCTTAAGAGAAAAGTCAAGGGTTTGAGTCCTGGAAAACTCGACAAAAAGTCATGAGGAGTAAGGGGGTTAGATGCCCTCCTGAAACAAATAGTACATAAGAGAATAGTCCGGCTTGATTCTCATGTCTATACAAAAAAATGCACAATTTCTCTTGCTAAGTTTGTTTGTTAATTCATCTATAAAAGATAATTTAAACATAACACGAGTGTCGCACAGTCCTCGAAAAATGATCCACGTCATTGGTCAATAGATACATGTAATTCACTAAATATTTTAGAATAAATTTCATAAAACGTAATTTTTTATAGAATGTACAATTTTTTTTAAAGAAGAAGAAATGTTAGGAGTCCATTAACACACAATTTCTCTCGCTGAATTTGTTAGTTAATTCATCTATAGAAGGTATATTAGATATAGCAAAAATACCGCACTGTATTATCTTAAAAAGTGATAAACTTGGATAATCAATAGATACACATAATCCAATAAACATTATTGTAATTCTAGAGTAGGTCAAAGATTACGAGATTCTATCTAACACCTCTGTATTTTTTTTTCATTAACTTCAACTTTTTAAAATGATTTATTTTATGTATATTTTTCTAAGAATAAATTTCACAATACGTATTTTTTTAGAAAATGTATACTTGAAAAAAGAAAAAAAAAGAAGAAAATTTAGGAGTCCATTAACACCTAGTTTCTCTTACCCAATTTATTTGTTAATTCCCTCTTTATCTTAAAAGAGAGAATGTGAAGTTTATTGTTCATTTTTGTCACATAGGTTTTTCCACGAAACTAATTTAAAATCGGTTTGACAATAGTAAATTATTCTATTCAATGGTGCTGTAGCATTATTTTCACGCCGTTTTACCATTTTCACAGTCGTTTCACTGTGATGTCACCTCCACTACAATATTTCTCTATTTTTACACTCCACTTTACTTGATTAAAGCAATATCATATATTATATAATAAAGAAATGAAATTAAATATAAAGACTATATAAAAAAATTGCAAATAAAAAAAATTATTATAAAGTTTTTAAATTGAATTAAAACGATTTAAAGAAAAAATAAATATTATTTAATTCAAATTTAACGAAAGTCTTTATATCATAAGGAATGTATGAAGATTATTTTATTAAACAAATAAAATAAAAGAAAGTTACAAAAATTAAATAAATAATACATAAATATTATTTAATTAATTAAAATTGAAAAAGATCAAATTTATAAAAAAAAATCTCTCCGTGGACGGAGAGAATCCCTCCATCCACTGAGAGAATATCTACTTTCAAAAGGAGAGTTTGTCTCCTTTATAGAGTGATAACACTCCGTGTATGAAGTGATTCCACTCCGTGCACGGAGTGGTGATAATTTTTAAAAAAATTTATTTATAGTAATTTTTTATTAATAAATATTTAATTTTAAAAAATCCCTCTTTATCTTAAAAAATGAGAATGTGAGGTTTTCTGTTCTCTGTGCATGAAACAATGTTTTGGAAAGATAGATCTTTTTTATATTTATTTTATTTTTATCAAATTTCATTAAGATAAATGTGTTAGTGTAAAATATATTTTAAAAATTAAATATATCTACATATTTACTTAAAAATTTAATTTAATATTTTTTACTTATAAATAAGTTTTATAATTATAAGTTTTTTTACTTTTAAATTAATTGAAGTAATTTTTTGAGAAAATTGTGGAGAAAAAATAATAAATATTAATAAAATAATTGATTTTTTTAAGAAAAAGACGAATTATACGTATTTTTTAACACACATGTTTGATACATGTTTAATTATTTTCGATATTCATTTAGATCATTCGATGTGTCTATAATATAGTTCTCGAAATGAGTTTCGAGAGAATATAGAAGATTTATTGATTCGACTACCGTACAAT